AAATTCCTTGGCTATTAAGGGTCTTTCTCTAAGATCTCCTCTTCTTGATTTCTCCTATGTTGGTGATAAGAGAATTCTTGGGAATTCTTGGGAATTCTTGTGTGGTGATATCTATTGTGGTGTGCCTTCTAGGTGCCTCTTATGTCCCTATTTATATATCTAAGAGTCCTAATTAGGGTCTAAATGGAAAATTATGCCTTGGACCCGTGTCCACAATGAATTGTGGACACGGGCCCAAAATGACGTCGTTTTTTTAAAAAAAAAAACGCGTCATTTAGTTATAAAAAAAAAAAAAATTCGCGCGGGTTTTGCCGTTAACAGCGTTATTTTTATTTATTTTTTTTTGGATTATGAATGTACAGTTATGCCGTTATGAATGTACAGTTATGCCGTTATGAATGTACAGTTATGCAATTATGAAATTATGAACACAGAGCTCTAACATTATGAACTTACAATTATGAACATATAGTGATAAAATTATGACCATGGAGCTTTAAAATTGTGAATATAGAGTTTCGAAGATTATGAATGTACAGTTATGGAGTTATGAATGTACAGTTATAGAGTTATGAATCTACAATTATGGAGTTATGAATCTACAGTTATGAGATTATTAATCTACAGTTATGGAATTATGAATGTACAGTTATTGATCGAATTATGAACAAAGAGCTCTGACATTATGAACTTACAATTATGAACATATAGTGATAAAATTATGAACATAGAGCTCTAAAATTGTGAACATAGAGCTTCGAAAATTATGAATGTACAATTATGGAGTTATGAATGTACAGTTATGGAGTTATGAATGTACAGTTATAGAGTTATCAACGTACAGTTATGGAGTTATTAATGTACAGTTATTAACATATAGTAATAAAATTATGAACATATACTCCTATAACGAAGCGGTCTGAAATTTAAAAAAAAAAAAGGAGATAACAGTGCCTAACGGCACTGTTACCCGTGTCCAGCATGCATGCTGGACACGGGTCCAACGCATAACGATTGGGTCTTGATAGGAATATTTTTGTAAGTTTTGATGAGCCAAATGTACTTTAGATCCCCTTAGTTTTAAGTCTTTTAGTACAAGCATCATAAATCAGAATATCGAATCAAAAGGAATCTACCATAGGAAGAACAAAATTAATTTGAGAAATTGATTTTGGTCCTACGAGTATTCATCCGAGAAAGAAGCATAAAGGAATGGCGTTGCAAGGAATGATTGGATGAGCCTAACGGCGAAATGGTAGAAGTTCTTACTCAAAATGATCACACCCAAGATTGATTCCCCCAAGGACTTATTTTTTACAAGTCAAAGTTTTCGGACAAGCACAATGTTCCTCAAAGGAGCACAATGTTACCAAAAGAGCACGATGCGGACAAGCACAATGTGTGCTAAGGAGCACAATGTATGCTACGGAGCACAATGCATCAAAGGAGCACAATGTATCAAAAGGAGCACAATGTTCAAGTCAAAGGAGCACAATGTGGCAAAGAAGCAAGATGTTTAGAATATGAATAAATTCGAAGGAATTTATTTTGGATTAGCCCACATCCACAAGAATCCAAAATTGCCTGAAGATACTTGATCAGAACGGAAAAATTATTTATGAAGACATGAATATAAAAACTTATCCTTGAAATAAATTCTATCAGATGAATTTATTTCAAAGATTCGTTGGATATTCAAATTGACAACTAAAGTAATATTTTAAGAAACAACTAGAAAATCAAGTTGTGTTAAAATATTATTTTGTCAGGCAAGTTGACAAATCAAATCAAAATTGAAGATCTACTATTGTCAACAATATCAGGCTATGAAGATTCGAAATTCAAAAATCAAATTATCCCACTCCAACGGATATATTTGATTGCTTATAAAAAGCCATGAAGACTTGAAGATACATGTAGAGGTGCAATACACACGGATAAACAAAGTGCAAAATCCAAAAGTGCAAGTGCTTAAATATTCTTAGAGACTTAGTCTGAATAGTCTCAAAAATTAGTTGGAGAGAGATACAATTACCTTTGTATTTGTAATTGTAAAAAGAGTATAGCTGTGTGCAAAATACTCTAGTGAGTGTAGCTGTGTGCAAAATACTCGTAGATGCTAAGTGTAGCTGTGTGCAAGACACTTGGTTGGCGTTGAGTATAGCTGTGTACGAAATACTCGAAGTTGAGTGTAGCTGTGTGCGACACACTCGGAGTTGGGTGTAGCTGTGTGCAAGACATCCGGAAGAAGTGCCTGTGTAGCACTTATTCACTATTGTAACTGTGTGTGGAAAATAGTGAATTTCTCCTAGACGTGAAAGGAGAAAAGTGGACTAGGAAGATTACGCCACTTCCGAACCACTATAAATTGCCTCTCTCATTTACATACCGCACTTACATAATTTGCTCTATCTATCTTATCCGACTAACCCGTTTACTATTCACAGTTAATCTTAATCGTTCGGGTTTAGTGTGCTTTCACGTATGCATGTAACTCAAACTTCTCAAGCTTAAATATTGATTTATTCTAAGCAAGTTTGACGTGTTGCATGTAACATTCGTCACACGTTTGACGTGACACGATATTTATTTACAATCTTGAATATTGTTATTATATATTGAGTGCACCATCTCCTTTATATATTCAAGATATCTCTGTCACTTTACATATCATCTGTACCCATCTTACATGCACATTTAAATTATTGGTTGGGCATAACTCTTTACATTCTATTATTCCGCTGTGCAGATCTAACTTACTCTATTTACTTGCTACTTAGAGTTGAAGTTACCAAAGAGTTATTTATTTTGAAAAAGCTTGAAAGTCTATTCACCCCCCCCCCCCCCCTCTAGACTTTCACCACCATATCGGGACCAACAGGTCTAAATGGTATGGGTTTGCTAATTCTATTTCTTATAGGACTAAGGAATTGGTTTTAGGGGTAAGGGTCCATGGTCTATGGTGGACCCTCCCTCATTAATTAATGGGATTTAATTCTCTTTTTAGGGTAGGTAATTAGATAATTAATTTGGGTTAGAGGCCGTAACACGGGATGTTACACATGCACCATGATTCCACTAGTAATTGTAACACCCCGTGTTTCGGCCTTTAATCCTGGATTAATTATTTAATTAATTCCGTTAATAATAATTAAAAACGATTTAATTTGGTTAGGATTCCCTTTAATTAATTAATGTGGTCCACCATGGATCGTGGACCTTGCCTAAACTAGAGCCTTAAGCCTATTAGGAATAAAGAGAGTGGACCTTCCACTATTCAGATTCTAATTAGGAATCCTAAACCTATTAGGAATAAAGATAGTAGGCCTTTACTACTCAGATTCTAATTAGGAATCCTAGACCTATATACCTGTTAGGAATAGAATGTAGGTCTTCACTATTCAGACTCTGATTAGGATTCCTAACTCTATAAATAAGGGATTAGAAAGCAATCAGAACCCTTACCACCTATAGTTATATTACACGAAATTATTCCCAGGAGATTCTCCAACACCAAGCCTAGGGAGATCAATCGGATGGAAATCTTAAAGAAGAACCTTAATATCCAAAGGGAGGATTAATTAAGGATAAAAGGTAACCCGTGTCTCGACAAAACCTATTTTCCTTGTTATATCTTATTCATTGTCTCCTTTGATATGTGATTCTGTGTTTGAGTCTTGATAGAGCTTTGCCTAAGGTTTATATTGTGTTTATGTGATAATCTTGATGTTCTTGATATTGTGATTGATTATATGAATGATCTTGTATTTTGATTGTGTCTAGAGCCCTAGGGTTTATATCGCGAATTTCGTGTTATGATGTTCTTGGTATAATTGGGTGAGATTATGCATGATCGGGTGTTGAGTCTAGCCTAGGACTTGTGTTTAGGACTTTGCATATAGACTTCTTGATATTATTGTGGTTCTGGATGCTCCTGAACCGTTATATGATTAATGTTAGGTCTTGGCATGATTAGGAATCGTGTTAGAACATATTTGGTGTGATTATTGATTTAATTCCGTTAATTGAATCCGTGGTGTTGTCGTTATGTGTTTGAATGTGTCTGGACATGGTTTCGGGTTCCACGAGAGATCCCGGGACCAGAAAGTTACCTGTGAGTCAGAGGGGGGTAGGTGGGGACAGGGGTGCCCGCCACCTACCCGCTGCCCGTGTCTACTATTCCAGTGGAAAGGCGACTGCCCGCCGGGCAACCGCTGGAATGGTGTGTCGCCGCCGGCGGGTGGTCCTCCACCCGCCTCCCACCCACTGGAAACTCGGCGTGGTTCATGGTGTTTTTCCCTGTTTGATGTTTCCCCGTGTTCCGTTGTGTCCCATTGTACCCCGTTTGTCGTGTATGAGTCTCGTTTGGTGTTTTGGGTACCATTATAGGAATTTATGTGTAATACGTGTCGTTGTGTTGTGTCTTGATTATTATTTGATTATGTGTTAATTGATTGAATGATGATGAGTATCGTGGTCATTGCGCAATGGCCGGTGTGAATAATGATGATGAGATTGTGATTGGTGGAAATGAATTATTGGAGGTTGGCACGACTTGTGCCCTGTCATTGTACTAAAGGTACAGGCCATAGCAGTTACTGTGCTGAAGGCACAAACCCACCTTAGACTTGCTTGCCGTTGAGCATGGGTCAGGTTATAAGTGCTGTTGCGTTATGTTAGAGCTATATGCGCTAACCCTTGGGTATGCTCCCCTTTCCCAAACCACGCCACCCCGTAGCAGAGTCGACCCCCGGGTTGCGCACCAAGGCTGCGGCCCCCCCTACAGCTGCCGAAAGGGATACATTAATCTTAAGCGCTCCCGCCGTAGGAGGAGTCCACCTAACTGACCTAACCACCCGCCTCGGCACATGTGCCTCCAGATATGCAACGATCGTCCTCCAGCTTAGGGGCAGGATATGCTGCATAGGCCAACGCCTGAACAAGCATTCCGCAACCCCTCTCGCCACCCTGAATATCACCCGCGTAACACTCGGGGCGCCTCACCCATGCATACACCCGTTACGGTGTTTCCACAGCTCCCACATCACCAAACAAGGCAACCTGTTAACAGCAAAAGAAAATAAAGGATTACGCGTCCCTCCACGGCCCCAGCCAGCGACCAACGTCCTAAGACTCCGGTGCCGCGACTGCAAGCCTAGGGATTCCAGAATATAGTTCCAGACAGCTTTCGTTGTTTCCCCATCATAAAAAACATGTGTAATAGTCTCAGCAGCTGGGGCTGGACAACACCTACATCTCGACACGAGCACATGCCCGAACCGAGACAAAGCATCATCCGTGGGTATCCGCCCTCGGAACACTCTCCAAGCCAGGAACGACACCTTAAAAGGAAGGTGTTTACGCCAACACTTAGCCAGAAGAGGATCCGGTGTAATGGGCAAAACAGGCCTAAGATAAGCCTTAGCCGAGGCATAAGAAAACATACCGTCAGAAGCTGCAGTCCATAGCGGAATATCCCACGGGCCCTGGCCCATTCGGGATAAGTCCACAGTGACCCCGGCATATACCAGTTCCTCATGAACAGTCAAATCAAGTGTACCATCATGTATGTAATCTAAGAGCATCTCCCAAGAGTAAGAAGCCCTCGGGAAAGGAAACAACCTGCCCAGTGGCCCCAAACCTGACCAGTTGTCCCACCAGAAATTAACCCGGCCCTGGAACAAGCGCCAGGTCAGCACCCTCTCTATGTCATCTCGAACTGCTAGCATCCGCTTCCAAGTGTGCGAATTAGAATACCGGGCCACCTTAGCAACTGGGTGAACTCGTCTACAATACTTGGCTCTTATAAAGTCTGACCACAAAGTGTGTTCCGTGTGAAATTTCAACCACAACTTCGCACTTGCTGCTCGAACCATCAAGTCCAAGTCCAAGTCCAAGAAGCCAACTCCCCCCTCCTTCTTAGGCAAAGAAAGAGTTTTCCACGAACTCCAATGGTACTGGGCTCCCCGTGATTGCTTCCAAAAGAAGCTTGCAAAGCACCGTTCCAAGTCCCGAACGACTTGCTTGGGCGGCGCACAGGCTGCAAACAAGTGTAGTGGAATAGCCTGTAATACTGATGATATCAAGACTGCCTTCCCCCCTTTTGATGGTACCCGCCGTTGCCAACTCAAACATTTAGCTTTAACTTTGTCAATCGCAGAGGCAAAGTAAATGCATTTCTTACGGCCTATGTACACCGGGCACCCAAGATACGTAAAAGGGAAGTCATTATGTGCACACCCGGTCCCCCGGCGAACTTCATCAACTACCCGGACTGGGGTACGAGGATGCATATAAAACGCACTCTTCTGAAAACTCACCAACTGCCCCGATATCTCCTCATAGTCTTTAAGAGCTGAGATGACCTTTGGTTCCTTTGATATGCAATTCCATGCTTGTGTCTTGATAAAGCATTTTATGATGATTATGAGATAATCTTGATGTTGATGAGATGATCTTGATGTTTATGTGATCTTGATAATCTTGATGTTTATAATGTGATCTTGATATTTATGTGTTGATCTTGATAATCTTGATGTTCTTGATTTTAATATGACTATAGCCCTAGGGTTAAATCGTGGATTTCGTATGGTGAGTCTTGATTATGTTTAGAAGTCATGTTAGAATGTATTTAATGTGATTCTTGGTTTTAATCCATTACTTGATTACGTGGTGTCGTCGTTTGTATTTAAATGTGTCTGGACATGGTTTCAGGTTCCACGAAAGATCCCAGGGCCGATTTATTACATAAGAGTCAGTGGGGGATAGGTGGGGGCAAGGGAACCAGCCACCTACCCGCTGCCCCAAAGAGGCCACCGGCAGCGGGCAGCCGACTGCCCGCCGGGTACTCGCTTCCCAGTATAGTGCCGCCGGCGGGGGATCCTCCACTCGCCGACCACCCGCTGGTTTTCCCCAATGTGGAATTGGTGGTTTTCCCCGTTTGATGTTTCCCCGTGTCCCGTGGTGTCCTATTGGACCCCGTTTGTCGTGCTTGAGTCTAGTTTGATGTTTCGGGTACCGTTCGTAGGATAAAAGAGTCTTTTGTATTGCATGCTAGTCGAATTGGTACCCCGTTGGCCTAGGTGAAAGATGTATGAACCCCTTAGGCTTATTCCTAGTAATGTGGCTGACCACGCATAAGTTTTATATAAATGTTTTCCCCCTCCCTATGTGCTAATGTGGGTTGCATGTGCTTGGCTATGTGTTATGTGTGCATGAAACCCCAATTGGTTGCGATCAATTGGCTATACGGGCAGTTGGATGGGTTGAGAACGATCGGCTATTAACCAGGCCGGTTGCGATCGGTTAGGTATATAAATATATATAAGGATGCGGTCTACCGTTTGGTTGCGATCAAACGTTATAAATGAGCTGCGGTTCATAATCTGGTTGCGATCAGAATCACACATTATTCGGGCTGCGGTCCACCGTTTGGTTGCGATCAAACGTTACTATATGAGCTGCGGTTCATCGATTGGTTGCGATCAATCTCCTTGTGCTGCGGTACAGGCAGGGTGCTTCGGGGCCATACCGGAGCTATATGCACTGGTACTTCGTGTATGGGCGCGTGAAGGGTCCTGCGGCACCACCAAAGTGTGTTTATGTGTTGAGATAATGATTGAATACTAATGTGAATGATGAGAAATAGTCTTGTGACCTTAGGGTATATGCTAGTATCTTGATATGCGTGATTATATTTGTTGACTGTGCCTATCCTTACTTGTTGAGTCTATTCTCGGTTTTAAATTAGAGTCTCATAAGTATATGATCGCTATTATATGAGCTGCGGTTCATCGATTGGTTGCGATCAATCTCCTTGTGCTGCGGTACAGGCAGGGTGCTTCGGGGCCATACCAGAGCTATATGCGCTGGTACTTCGTGTATGGGCGCGTGAAGGGTCCTGCGGCACCACCAAAGTGTGTTTATGTGTTGAGATAATGATTGAATACTAATGTGAATGATGAGAAATAGTCTTGTGACCTTAGGGTATATGCTAGTATCTTGATATGCGTGATTATATTTGTTGACTGTGCCTATCCTTACTTGTTGAGTCTATTCTCGGTTTTAAATTAGAGTCTCATAAGTATATATATATATATATATATATATATATATATATATATATATATGTATATATATATATATATATATATATATATATATGTATATATATATATATATATGTATATATATATATATGTATATATATGTATATATATATATATACATATATATACATATATATACATACATATATATATATATATATATATATATATATATATATATATATATATATATATATATATTGTATTTTAACGCATTGGAGTGGGTTACTAGCATTATTCGCTGAACAGATATATTTGGCTTTCAGGCACAGATGAGTAGCTCCGGAGCGCGCTAGAGGACCTGAAGCTTAGTTAGTTAGTTTCCTTATCGGCCTGCGTGCCATGATGATGTATTGACACTGTTTGAGGATTTTTAGATAGTATAGCATGTGCATCTGAGTTCTCCAGCTCATATGTGGCATAGCACCCCAAACACTTATGTTTAGGGGTGTTACAATGATAGTGGAGATTCTGAGAAAGAACCTGAGGTCAAGCCTAGATGCAGTAAACGTGCAAGAGTTGAAAAATTATTTGGTCCTGATTTTATAACTTACTTGTTAGAGTATGATTCTAGTACTCTAATTTGTTTATTAGAAAATAAACTAGATTTTCGAACATGTTTAATAGGGAATGGACCTCGAATGTATGTAGAAGTCGTGACTTCTACAGAAAGACCAATGTAGAAAGATGCTATTAAGAGTAAAGTGGATTCTATTCTACAAAATCACACTTGGGAACTTGTTGATCTTCCTCCAGGTAGTAAACCCTTAGGATCCAAGTGGGCATTTAAAAGGAAGATGAAACCGGATGGTTCCATCGAGAAGTATAAGGTTAGGCTTGTAATTAAAGGTTACAGACAATGTTAGGGCCTTGATTACTTCGACATGTATTCTCCTGTGACTAGAATAAACTCCATTTGGATGATACTTGCCATAGCCGCGTTGCGGAATTTGGAAGTTCACCAAATGGATGTGAAAACCGCTTTCTTAAATGGCAAGTTAGATGAATCTATATGGAACAACCCAAAGGGTTGGTTGTTCCCGGCTAAGAAAAGAAAGTGTGTAAATTGGTTAAATCGTTATATGGTTTAAAATAAGTGCCTAAACAATGGCATGAGAAGTTTGACCACGCAATTTTATCCTATTGGTTTAAGATAAACGAGAGTGATAAATGTGTCTACGTTAAAGAAACGATAGACGATTATGTCATTATTTGTTTATAGGTAGATGATATACTCATCGTTGATAGTAACGATCGAATGATCAAGTTTACCAAACATATGTTAAATTCGAGATTTGACATGAAGGATATGAGTTTGGCTGATTTAATCCTCGAGATTAAAATCATTAGAAGACCTGATGGTCTAGTGTTAAACCAAACTCATTATGTTAATAAAATTGGTGAAAAATTCAATAAGGATGATAATCAAGTGGATAAGACACCATTTGATGCAAATGTTTTACGAGTTAATTCCAGCATTGTTCCCCCAATTATGTTGATTTTCCAAAATTGGTCCCCGACTTTTAATTTGGACAATTTAAGCCCTCGACTATTAAAAAGTTTCCAATGTTGGTCATTCCGTTCTCTTGGTGTTAAGTTGACGTTAGAAGGAGGGCTAATAGTGTCTTTTTACTTTCCAATCGTATAATACTTTAGATTATACGCAATTTCCCTTCGATTCCCCCTTTTATACATAGACCAAACCCTTTTACGCTCAGGACACATTTGAGAGCTAGTAGACATACTTCAAAATCCCCAATTTTCTCGAGTAATGCTGAAACCCTAATCTGAGTACGAATAGCGAAGCGTTGATGCATCCATAGAATATCGTTGATGGATTCGAGAGGAAAGCAAGCTATGGTTGGGAGCAATGCTGGTCCACCAGGTAAATGTAGAGTTATGTTTTGTGAAAAAATATGTGGTGTGCTTTGTTTTTCAGTACTAGAACGAAATGCCAGTAGTGGGGACCAAATAAATAATTTGTGTTGTGTTTGAAAATGGTCTGTGGACCAATGTTGTTTGTCTACTTTACGATTTTGATGGGGACCAATGTTGTTGGTTTTTTTTTGAATGCTTTTACTGAAAAGTAGTGGACCATAAAATGGAGCATTTGTTGTTGTCTGTACTGTAAACTTTTTTTTTTTTTTTTTTTTTTTTTTTGTAATATCAAGTTGTCTAAGGGTACTGCTAATACTCAATTCTTGATTTCATTAGTTTTGTGTTTGAAAATGTTGTATGGACCAGTGTTTGTTTGCTTTACTTGCTGGGGACCATTGTTTTTGTTTTTTATAATGCTTTTATTGCAAAGTAGTGACCATATTTTATGCATTAAAGTGTACTGTAAACTAGCTTTTTATGATAACTAAAGTAGTCTAAAGTGTACTGCACATTGTCAATCCTTGATTTCAGGAATTTTTACTCTTAATTTAAGACATGTAGGAATGATTAGTCAATCTTTACCTGCTGAATATATAGGTGGTAGTGTTAGTTCATATAATGATATGGAAGAAGACCAGTGGGGGTTAATATGTTTAAAGGAGAAGGTAGTTGAAATAGGGTATGCCATTGATGACAGTTTCAGATTCTTCATACAGACTGAAGTGGGGTTGCAAGAATTGGTTAAAGACTTAGATCTTTGGAATTTAGTTAACCAATGTTGTTATCCTAAGGTAATATAGATTTGGATGGTAAAAGGAGGGGTTGGTGAAGATGTATATTATTGTGATGGCAGTGGAAATGAGAATGAAGAGGATTGTGATGGCAGTGTAGATGAGTGGGATGGAAGTGGGGAAGAATCTGATGGCAGTGATGAGGATTACAATTCTGATGAGTTAATTAATGTAGATCTACATGATGATGAAGAGTTTGTGAAAAATATAGATGTTAATGTAGAGTATGGAGGATTAGTTATTGTGCAGGACCAACCCCAACAAGGTAATGTATAGGTTCAACAAGTTGGTGATGAAATCAACTACTCTGATGAAGGTAACTTTGTAGGCAGTGATGGTGAGGCAGCAGCAGGGATTAAATGGCAAAAGTACTTGAAAGACCTTCAAGGTAATTGTCCTACATTTGCACTTAGATTGACCTTTAAAGATAAGGGGGAATTTAGAGAAGCTGTAACTAATTATGCAATCAAAGAGGGGAGAGAAATGAAATATGAAAAAAATGACAAAGTGAGATGT